GCTTTCCCAACCTGGCGCCTGGCTGCAGCCAGCTGTGGTCAGTGGGTGTGTTTGTTCATCCAGTGATGGAGGAGCAGCAGGGGAGGAAGGTGGGGAGTGACCTTCCGGCCTCCAGCCTGGGCTGGGGGAGGATGACCCAGCTGGGAGAGCCGTGTAGAGTGGGGGCCGCCAGGCCCTGGACTCCCAGCTCTTATGCACCTGGAATGGGGAGCAGATGGAATCCTGAGCGTCTCCCAGAGCCTGGAGCTGGAGGCCTGGCATTGGCGAGGGGTCTACATGTAGCTCAGCCACCGGATCAGCCCTTCTGTGACACCCTCATGTGTGAGGACCCCTCCTGTGTTGGAGAGGGAGGGGGCCAGGGCCCCCAGGGCTGGCTCCTGCCCAAGGCTTTCTCCCTTGTGCTCCAGCCTGGGACAGGTGGCCCCAGGCCAGGGTGCTGTAGTCTGGCTGGTGTCCTGGAGAGCACCACGAAGGAGGCTTTCCCTGGTGGGTGGGTCAGTTCGCTGCACCCAGCCGCCTCCCATCCACACCCACAGAGGCACCTGTGCAGGCCAAGACTGACCCACACGCACCCACAGCGATGTGCTCGTGCCCTGGCGAGCCAGCCCGTGGAGACCTGGTCATTGCCTCCTGCTGGGATGCAGGAAAGCAGGCTGGGGTGAGGGGAGAGAGCAGGCTTTGGCACTGCCCGCGTGAGACCTGGGAGCAGCCAGGCAGGCACGAGCATCTCCCAGAGAGTCTTCCAGCGACTTTGATGCGACAGTGAGAGACAGGGCAGCCCCGAGTGTGGGGGTGGGTGCTCCTGGGCCAAGAGGGGGGCCTGAGGCCCACCCAGGGACCCCAGGCTTGGTCTTGGGTTTCCTCTCCTTTGTCAGTTCAGCACCCAGAATGCTTTTCACTTTTTGTCTTTTGAAGTGTTTTTCCTTTTTTATCCCCCTGGGGTGCCCTTATACGACCTCTGATGCTGCTACAGAGTGAAGTCAGTGAAAGTATGTCCCCCACTCATCCATCCACGCACCCACCTAACCATCCACCATCCACCCACCCACCCACCTAACCACCCCCACCCATCCATTCACGCACCCACCTAACCATCCACCATCCACCCACCCACCCACCCACCTACCTAACCACCCACCATCCACTCACCTACATAACCATCCATTCACCCATCCACCCACCTAACCATCCACCATCCAACCACCCACCCACCTACCTAACCATCCACCCATCCAACGACACATCCACTTACCTACCCATCCATTCACTCACCCACCCAGCCACCTTCCTAACCATCCAGCCACCATCCATCCACCCATCCATCTAGCACCCACCGACTCAACTACCTACCACCCTTCCATCCATCCATTCATCCACTCCCCCACTCACTCATCCACCCACCCGATCACCACCCATTCACCCATCCATCTACCCACTCCAGGGCTAGCTGTACCTGGTGAGTAAGAACGAGGGTGCCCAGCTCTGCTGCAGAGCAGCTGTGGGACCGCAGGCAGCTGTCCTGCCTCTGTGCTTTGACAGCGACCTGACCACTCTGGCCACTTCCAGAAGGGCGGGCTGTACTGGGGGCGGCAGTTGCAGCCTCTGGCCCTGGGCCCTGTCCCCCCAGCACCCCTGCCTCTACCTCACACCTTTCCTCTGCAGCCTGGCAGCTCTGGCCACTGTAACCTTAACACCTGCTCATGGCGGGCTCAGCGTTCCCCACGCTTCTCCTGTGGTTCTCAGTCCAAACTCCAGGTGACAGCTGAGTGCCAGCCTATCTGTGCCTAGCGCAGAAGGTGGATGTCAGTCAGGGCCCATCCCTGGGCTGGAGGGCAGGTGGGACCCGGGACCAGACAGCTACTCTCAGAAGGGATGGTGGACAGGCTGTCCATCAGACTCGGACAGGTCAGTGACCTCTAGCTTCACTTGCACTTTGCTCACACACTGAGGAGATTCTTGCAGATCCTGTATTTGGGAACTTGCCTACCTGCTAAGATACATTTGGAACCCTAAAATCAATGCTCATTTCACAGTCACTTGCCGACATCTGTAGAGTTGGGCAAATGAGGCCACACCCTCTGCCTTCTTGCTTAATCTTTCGCTGCAAACATGGCCTGTCTGCTGCTGAGTTTCCCACATTTTTGTGATTTTTGTTGGCAATTTCGTTGTTTAAAGTGGCCCTGGATAACCCTGAGGTGCCATCCAGGGTCCCCGAGCGCAGGAGAACACATGGGTCAGAGGCGCTTCCTGCTGCCGAGTTAAACTCTCAGGAACCAATGCCAGGTACCAAGCACGGGGTCTTTGAACAGAACTGCATGTACAACAAGGTTCTGTCCTGATCAGTGGGTGAAAAATGACTTATAACGAAAAAGAGTATGAAAAGGGATACATACGTATAATTGAAGTATACCAGAATACCAGAACCTAGCCCCACACTGTAAATCAGATGTGCTACAATCAAAAAATGAATAAATCAAAACCGGGCCGGAGGCTGGCAGGACCCTGACGCCGGGCCCCCCAGGGGTGAGGGCTCAGTTCTCGACACTTCATTCTCTGGGATGGTGAGCCTCCGGGCCTTGGCCCCTGCCCCTTGTCCGCGGCCTGCCTTCCTTTGGTGTCTTCCTGAGCGGTTGGGCCAGTGGGTCCGCAGGCCCCTAGGCGGTGAGTGCCCAGCCCTGGGGAGTGCTGGGGCCACGCCCAAAGATGCAGCCTGTGGAACAAAGAGGGGCCGGGCTGGGGCCCAGTGGCCAGGGGCCTCCGCTGACCCACAGAGACCTGGACTGTCCCTCACCTCCCCCGCTTCTGCAGGTTGTCTCAGCTACGCAGTCAGGTCTGGGCCAGAGGAGCGGCTTTCTCCTTCACACTGCACAGATAACTCGGCGGCAGCCCTGGGCCCACAGCAGCTCAGCTCTGACTGTTTTACACGTGGGGTGAGGCCGGGTCGGGGGAGGGGCGGGTCATCTCTCGCTCTAGTTAAAGTTGCTATAAGGAAAGAGGCAAGAAACCACGGGGCCTGCAGCGCTGGTTCTGGGAGTGCGCAGAGGTGTGGGGCGGGTGTTGGGGGTTCGCCAGATGGCCCCCTCGGGGGCGGCCCTTAGGGCACTGTAGGGTGGGGAGTTACTCGAGACCTGCGCTGTCCACAGCTAGTGTCCACCAAGGGTAGCAGTTTTCTACTCGCCCTGCCCTTGGCCTTGAAGCTGCAGACTGTCTCCCCTCCCCCCTCGAGAGAGGCAGGGCTTGGGGCAGGGGAGAAGAGGGGGGGCTGAGTTAGGGGGAGGAGGAGGGCAAGCACAACTAGGCTGGAGAACTGGACGCTCCCCTGCGTTCGCAGAGAGATGGAAACCAAGCCCATGGTTGTGGCCGCTGGACTCTGTTTCCTAGCGGCTTGGTGCTGGGCCTGGCTCCGAGGTCTTGGTGCTTTTATTCAGGTGGCGGCCTCTCGGTCCCACTCCTCCCGGCTCTAGCCTCCAGCCACCCCACCCGAACCCGCCCAGCATAATTGGGTCCACTCCCCCCGCCCCTCCACCCAGCCAGCCATCCTGGAATTAGTCTGTAAGCCTCTTCTCCTTGCAGGGAAAAGAATCCCCTGGAACCTTAGCTTTCCAGTGAATGAGGAGTTTGCAGATTTCATGTGCTGGGTGGGGGAAGTGCCCCTCGGCACTCCTGAAGCCCCCAGAACAGATCCCCTTCACAGCTCCTCCTGCCCATCCCCTCTTGCTGTCGGCATCTTCTGACCCACATCACAACTCTCCTTTCTCCTCTAAAGCAGTGGGGAGGTGTCAGGGTTAAAAATAACCCCCAAACCCGAAACCAGGCACGGTTCTGCTGTGTACACTGGCCACGTCAGTCCTAGCCTAAGGCCTCCCTGTCTCAGCGAGCCCGCTGCACAGGCTCTGCTGGGGGCAGCCCCCACTGCCCTCGTCTCCCCCCACTCCCAGAGAACTCCCCCAACCCGTTCAAGGCGCCCCCTCCACGGAGGCTCTCCATGCGTCTGCGCCCTTCCGGTCCCCGGCAGGATCACTGTTCTCCTTCCCCCAGAAAACTCTGACCTGCCGCTCCTTACGCAGGCCAGCGTGAGCGTCCTCGCTCTCCCTGACTGGACGGTGAGCTCCCCGTGGGGTGCGTCTGAGGGTCCGGGATGAGGGCGGGGCGTGTGGGTGCGAGTCGGGGGGTGGCAGGTATGAGTGCCTCCGAAAGAACCCCGACTGTCCCCACTCCTTGTGCTACCCCCCACCCCTCGGCCCCACCCCGCGAGCCTCTCCAGGCCCTGCGCGTCCTCCTTCAGGTCCGCGCAAGTCCCCTCCCCCGGGAGGCCCTCGGTGGCCGTCCCGGGTGACGTCACCATCTCCTTTCATCCATCAGTT